CCAAATGTTGTTCCAGTAGAATCAATCTTCAATTAAAACATTCATAATCATGGCAGATTTGGTAGATCTTCAATAAGAACACAATGAGAGAGATGAGAGGAAAAGTCAAAACTCTAAATCTAGTCAAATCTCTTATTACGTAAATGATATTACAAATGAGCTTCCTATTTAAAATTACAAAGACTAACCCTTTATATAGGGTCAAAGTAAAACTCTAATAGTCAAAGTCAAACTATCTATACAAAGTCAAAAACGAGGTCTTTTACAACTATAGACAATATTTAACTTTCAAGACGAATACAATTTATCACTAAAATTTAGTGCTAACAGAGTTGCACCCATTTAGGATCCAACGGGAACTAAAAAAACTCTTTCACCGTCACTACGACGTCGCTACTAATGATGGACCAAAAGAATTTAAGAAAGCCGAAAGAAATGTCGTCGGGGCCAGGGGATTTGTCTTCTCCACACTCCCAAACAACTCTCTTTATTTCATCCTCGGTGATAAGTCGGTCAAGGGAGTCAACCTCTTTGTTAAATAATCTTTATAATCATTCCATGTTGAATCCAAACATGGGCTGAAATTGGGATCCCAAACTATCTTTAAAGAATGATTGAAATTCTTTTTTCACCTCCTACACTTCTTCCGTCCATCTTTCGTTACAGAGAATACTACCCTCTTGCCAAGCGCTCCCTACCGAGGATCTAAAATCGTCCAATGAGCACCATGAGTTAAGAATTTTGAACAGAACCGGACCATAATCGACAATAGCCTCTTTTAGAAAAATCAGACAGTGGCCAGACTTGTTCCTATCGAGAATCGTACATTTTGAGTTGGGCCAAATTATTTCAACAAATTTCCTTGAAACAAGAAATCTATCCAACTTACTAAGCTTGGAACTGATTGAATTCGACTAAGTGTATTTTCTGTCGTTAGACGACATTTCAACCAGATCAACATTAAGAATGAACTTGTTGAAAAAGCTCGTTGTTGTCTGATCATAAAAAGCTCCAATTGTTTTGCAAACAATCTATATAATACAAATAAGAGTATTTTTGCTTTTCTCATTTATTTATCTCTAATTCTTTAATTATTTAATTCACTTGCCATTTTAAAATGAATTTCCGTACAAGCAGTAATCAAAATTCACATATGAAACCCTACAAAAGAATTATCACTTTTTGGTTTCTTAGTGTATTTCACATACGAAAACATTTACTAAAAGTTCACATACAAAAAATATCCAAATATTGTCACTTTCTGATTCTTATTGTGTTTCACCTATGAAATATTACTCAAATTTCACATATACTTTTTGGTTTCACCTATGAAGATCGGTAAGTTTTTTGGAATAACCAATGTTCTTAGACGAAACAACAATTTAACATTAAACAAAAATCATTATTTCATCTATGAACTTGGGTAAAAATATATGGACAATCAAAGTTCATAAATGAAACATGAAAGGGTAGATCGATAAAGTTTCAAATGAGGAGAAACGGCAGACTATTTTGAGATTGTAAGTGGGATGATTATTATCTTCTAAAAATAAATGAAAATTTCTTTCAATTTTACCCTTCATTTTTTTCACTTCGTTTTCCATCAATTTGTAAGCTTAGATATAAGCTTTGATTAGACAAGGAAAATTTGATGGATCTTTAAGATTTACATAGAGAGTGTTAATGGCACCCTTTAATAGGGTTGTCAAAAGCTTTGAAACTTTAACCATGATTAAAAACATAAAATATCAAAATCAATAAAATAATATAATATATTTTATTATTATTATTTTATATATTAATATATACATATCTTATAATTATATATATATATATATATAATT